ATTGAAAAGCTTTTTACGTATCTAACAACCTTTTCATTTTGTGCTTTGGGTACACATTATGGTAGCTTCAATAGAATTGGATTCCAAGACATGTATTAGAAGTTGCATATTACACATGTACTTTATAGTTGTAGTAGTGTTCTCCATTGAGAATCATAACTATGTACTCTTACATAATTTAATAATAAAACATGTTCGATGTCTTACTGTGGATGTAGGTCTTTGACTGAACCACATAAATCATGTGTGTTTTTTTTTTCTTTTTTCTTTTAGCAAATCTGGACACTGCTGATGGTTAAGTCCGTAGATGTTGGTTCATTTTTTTTTCATTTTGTTGATTCCACGACATGTATGGATGTTGATTCATTTTTAGCAACAAGCTATTTTTAATATGTTTTTATTAAGAATAGTTACACGACATTGCTGTTGAATCATGTCTAAAGTGGTTGAAGGGGGCCCATCCGCAATGTGGGATAAAGTAATTTTAAATATTTTTTGCGATCTGTGTATTAAAGAAATAGATTGAAGAACAGACCAATAACGTATCTTAATAAGGAAGGGTGGTAAAATATTGCTAAGAGATTCAAAGAATTGACTGGTAGAGATTATGACCGGCTTAAATTTAAAAACAAATGGGACCAGTTGAAGAAGAAATGAAAAATATGGAAGAAGTTGAAACGTGGATCTACCGGTCTGGGTTGGGATCCGATTAAAAGGACAATTGATGCTCCAGCTGAATGGTGGGCTGAAAAATTAAACGTAAATTTCTATATAATCCATGAATTGTTAGCTTCGCAAATTGTTTTCTCTAATTATAATATTCTAAATATCCCCTCTAAATGCTATATCACAAGCGGTACCGGCAGCAGAAGTACAAACACTGCGGAATAGAACCAAAATTTAAAGAGAAACTGGACATAATGTTTAAATAGTTGTCGCAACGGGAAACTTTTCATTCAACCCTACTGAAAGCGGTTTTACAGGGATACCAGATGAGATCACACCTGAGCCATTGACACCCGATGAAGAAGTGCATAATATTAACCAGAGGGATATGGGGGAGTCCAGTACAATTTTAAAGAGGCCAAGGATTGCTAAGAAAAATAAAGAGAAGGAACATTTTGTGAACACCTCCTTCGATCGTTTAATTGAAGCTTTTGCAACTCCACCAATATTTGATTCTAACATAATAGATTGTCTCAGGTTTTTGGGCACTATTCCAGAAGTTTTGGGCGACAAACGATTTCACGCACAGTGTGTGAAAAAACTTGAGAATTCAACTCGAATGAAAATATTCATGGCGCTAGAGCCTGAATTGCGTCTCAAATATTTGCGGGTTTTGGTCGAGGAATGATATTTTTTTTGTATTGTATATGTATTTGTTGCAGTAATATGAACTTTTACTTATGTCAATTTTTTTTTAAATGTTTGGAACTTCTAATCATGTTATCTCTTTTTAATATGTTTGTACCTTCTACATATGTATCTGTTAGTGGTTGATGCTTTATCTATAAGTTGCGTATTATATGTTCTGAATTTGAACAATTAATATTTGGTAGCGCTGTAGCAATACCTTATTATGCACTAATTATGTTTACATCTTTATCATTTAGGATGGATCAACAACGTGTGCGTCGTAGGAGAATGACATTTGCTACAGTCATTGCAATATTGTTGTTGGATTATTACCGGAGTAGCACTGCTCGCATTCCCCGCATGACATCCAGCTTT